GACTTCGCAGTGCTGTGGGCAGGAGCCCAGTGTCACTGTGCCTGTCCCCATCCTTATGCCTGGCTGATCCTGTGCTTTCTGTTGCTACAGCTGCCACGGGGCCTGGCAAGGGACAAGGTGGAAGTAAGTGGGTGCAGGGTGAATCCCCTGGGCCTATGGCTTAACCCCACAATGTGCCCTGCCCACCCTGTCTGCACCTGGATGCCGGCTCAGAGAGGACCCACCTACCCGCCTGGCTTGTTGTGAGGTGCAGCCCTGGGGAGCTGCTGAGGCCTTGCTGCACACTGCAGGGGCTGGAAACACCCCGCTGGTGCTGGGCTGGGAAGGGGTGTCCTGCAGGTTGGACCTGAGTAGCTCCATGTGGGCCAGGCCAGGGGTTGCCATACCGATGAATTGTTTAACCATTTTAATTACAACAGGTTAAACGAGTACTTTTAAAATCAGTATTTACATCCTTAATTTGAAGCGGAGTAATATTTACTCCTCTTAAATATTACTTCTGTTATAGGTTCCAAATTGTCACTTGTCTTGCTCCTGTAATTTCTAGTACAGTAGCTGTACATCCAAATAGTGTTATCTAAATCTGTCAATGTTTGCACTTGTTATCTTCCATCCTTAACTGTTTGATACTGTGTTTATTCGTTAAAAGTTTTTTTTTATGTTGAAATGACATGACATTGGCCATCTATTTCCTACAGTTGTGTGTCCTAGGCTGTGTCCAGACAAGTACAGCTGTGTGGTATGTGGTGCTGCAGACTCATCTGCAGCACCGCATACTACACGTTCAGCTGTTCTCTGCACTCTGCATGGGGTTTTGTGTTTTTTTGGTTTTTTCTGAACCCTGAATATCTGGGGGTCTGAAAAAACCCGTGCAAAAAAACCCGGAGCGGTGCACACAGGGGCAGCATGTGCTGCTCAAAACTGGAGCCTGCCTCCAAGTGGCAGGATCACCGCTGCTGTAGCTTCAGGAGACCCCCAGGTCCCCAGGTAAGGCTGCTGGGGCCAGCCCAGTGCTGACCCCAGCCCCTCCTACCCCACCCGGAGTAACCTGCTCAAGGTGTCCCGCTGCTAGTTGTCTCTTGGGAACCAAATGCCTATGCTTATGTGGATGTGGCCCCTATGATCTTCAGTTCCTCTGGAAGGTCTTTTACATTTATTGCTTATTTCTGCTAGTCAGTACTTTGAGGCTGTACTGGGAGAAGGGTTAATACATCTCCCCATGGATCAAGAGGTGTGAGTTTGAGTTTTGCCTTGAACTTGAGCCTGGGGAGTAAAAGGTGGTTGGAAGTGATGCTGCTGACCCCATTGGTCCTTTGTGCGGTGCTGGCCGTAGAAAAGGGAATACCTTAATCACGCTGTCTGCTGGACCACTGAGGCTTGGAATAGACCTTTAACTGTAACTTGATTATAAACAGCCTGTTAACTTGGCTAGACAAATGCAGCAGTCTAAAAGCACTTCTTTCTATTATCATCAACTTCTGTGTGTGTAAGGAGGCAGTCATTTTTTAGTAATGTATTTTCTCACATACAGCATGTCCTGACATAAGATACACACCTTGTTTATGAAAGGCAGAATGAAAACAAAATCTTCCCCTGTAGTAAGCAATTGAGTAGTAGCAGCTAGAGAGCTAAGCCTGCTCATTTTTGTGCCCCCTGTAGATCATATGCAGACTTTACTTTTAGATTTCCCTGGTAAGCAGCTGAAACTGCTCCTGTTGTATTTCTGGCATATAACATACACTCCAGTTCCCAGCAGCTGTTTGCCTGTGAGAAAATATGGTATGTTAAAAAGCTCCCACCTTTCTGCTGTCTGTTGTAGAAAGTTGTTGGGTATTGGGAGAAAACTAGTTGTCACTGAAATACTCTGATATGTTCTGGTTTTATTTGAATTATCCTTCCAAATAAAGGGCTTTCTTGGGTAAAATGTTCTGATGAATACAACTGTGAAAGGAAGAAATGTAGAGAATGGTGATAAGACTGGACTTTTCCTCCTGCACTTAGCGGTTAGTTAGGCTAGCTGAAACATTGAGCATTATTGACATTACTAGAAGTACACATACAGGGTGCTACTTTATATTGTAACCAGCAGATAATACACAACTGAATTAACCCAAACAGTATTAACAGGACAAGTGGAGACAGAAGATAAGTATTATTTTTGCTCCTTACCCCCAGTCTGTCCCAAATGACACGCAAACAATCTTGAAATCTGTTCCTTAACAACGGGCTTGGGAGAAGCTGTACAAAAAGACCATATGTTTGCTTACTGTCAAGTATACCAGTTTATGTAAACTTATCACTAGAGCTGAATGAAAACACAGAGTTAAAAATCTAGAAGTATATCTGACTGCTGCTGCTCTAATTTTGCCAGACACATGCATTACTTGTGAATAACTATATCAAACTTCTAGAGTTACTAGCTCTGTTACTGGCACAGGCTACAGAATAGAACAGCATTTTGCTAATGGAGCCTGTCATTTTTTGTCATTACCCTTCATGCAAAAAACCAATATGTAAGCAAAACTAGCAGTCATATCCACATATGAATTAGAAATCTCAAATCAGCTAAACTGCTGCTGCAGCTACCTAATTAGCCAAATATTTCAGTAGCAGTGACTGCAGTTGATAAGACATGCAAGTTTTGTAGATGAGGACAAAGTGTCAAGACTTGAACAACTTGTCTCAAGAGGATATCCCTTAAAGGGGCAACATCGACTTAGAAATAACAGGTCTGAATTTCTTTTACTTGCAATTTTAGAAATAACATCTATATTCCACTTGTGGGAAGGGATTAACAAAAACATAAATCACTGTGTTCCTCACTTACATGTTTTGTGCATTTAGCTGTGCCTTATGGTTGGCTTTGTGCTCCCCTACTTTCTCCCTCCCCCCCGGGTTATTTAGCTTGACACTTGCTCATGTCCTGAATGATTACTTTGTGGAGACTGCTGCACCATTCATGTTTATCTTTACACCTCAAAAAAGGGTGTGCGTGGGATTTAAGTGGTGCAGTGGTGACTTTTTGTTTGCCTTTTTGACATAAATTAGTAACGGTTGGTTCATTTGTTCAGACCTCGATTCCCTTCACCATCACACTCATCCATTGACTCTTCCTTTTACTGTTGACATACTTTGACTTTTGCAACATTTGTATACCTCATCACACCAATAAACTCTGGCTGGATTAAATTGAATTGATTGATACAGGCTTTCTGTAAGCATGTCTTGATCACAGGTTATATTCTGTTGTCACAGCATTTCCAGCAGGATGGTGTACCTGCATCCTGACTTCTGCTAGAATTAGCTTTCTAAAGGCAACCGTTCTTCTTAAAGAATCCAGATATCCAGAGAAATAATTTGTTCTGTGTAACAATGACAAAGAATTCTGCATTTAAAACCCCACAACTGTGCTCAGATATTGTCTTATGGCAGGAGACAGATAGCATCACAAAAACTTAAGAAGTTTTTGCTATAGATACTGATATACATTCTGTCTGAAGTTGAGAAAAAGCTCATTGTAGTGGAAGTCAAGAAGCATATTGGTGTCATCATGAATATGCTGGGACATCAGTGTGGTAACTTTAGAGATTTCACCTCAGGCTATTATTAGACCTCCTGGTCATTTGTTAACGGCCAGGAAGTTGACCCTCGTTTAGATTACTAGTACTCAAATAGAGAACTGTTGTGCAGAAGCTTTTTTGGAATAATATCTACAAATATCTGTATTGTGAAGGCAGTAAATGCATCTAGAGGGAATAAGAAATATAAGGAAGGAATCACAGAGGTGCTGAACTAAGTCACAGTTTTCTCCTGCTAGTCTATTATGAAAGAATCCTTTTCCATAGGGTTGGGTAATGATGACCGGTCAGATAATGTTTGGTCAATTGGCTGGTCAAATATTGGTAAAAAATTGCCAAAAGGTGCAAATAATACACAAACAAGCACACATTTTCCTTCAAGAATATGCCAAAAAGCAATAAAATCAAATTTTATCAAGGAAACTACAAAGATATTAGGTTTTGTAAAATTGGTATCTTTGATCGGTCAAAAATATACACTAAATTGAATGGTCAGTTGACAATATCTGACCAGACAACTGAACGGCTTGCCAACCCTACTTTTCAGGTATGTGGTATAAGGGTGACTGCTGCTTGCCTTACCATGATGGTCCCACTGGCTTACTTGTGCGAGTGGAGCCCTGGCACGTGCCCTATTTTCAGTTGAACCTTTTTGTATCCTAGGCTTGTCCACCTGGTCCCAGCATTCCAGATCCCGACATCGGCGGAGTTCATGTTCCAGACACGAAGACAGAAAACCTTCTGAGGTATTTCTAGAACAATATTTGCATTTTGCTACCTCTTTGTGGTAAAATGTACATGTGCCTTGTTAATGAATACATTTCTTCCTAATTATATTTTCTTTCCTTTTCTGCTCCATCTGAACTGGCACACCCAACACCTTTCATCTGGCCAGGAGATCAGGGAGGTCAGCTGATACCACAGTCACTGCCAGTACCAAGTTAGTTTTTAGCTATGAATATTGGGTTAGTTTGGAACCAACTTAACATAGCTCTGACATTTTTTTTTCTTTTAAAGTTTTGGATGATTTGATTTTGATTTCTGGTGAACTGTGAAAGTTTTATTTTTAGCTGCAGTAGCTTCCTAGCCATTATTTGACCTTAATGAATAACCTTTGTTAACAGACTTACCAAACCAGAAATCTATCCCTTTTAAGCTTCATATATGCTGCTTTGAGGAATTTGAGTCAAGGAAGGAAATGGAAATCAGTTTGAACGTTTTTATGTGGGGGAGTAATCATTGGCACCAAATGGATACCATCACTTTGTAGCTGCCATTGCCAGAAGTGGTCTGAGGCAGTCGCTAGACTTCAGGTTATGTGGGAGCAAAACCAAGATGGAATTTCTTGGGTTTGGTCAGCATCACTGTGTCCAAATGCTTCAATTACTGAAGTTAGGAGAAAAGTTGTACTTTGCTGATGAGAATATACTTCCTGAGACTTCATGAATGCACACTATTCAGTGTTAGAAATGCAGCTAGAGAAGCCGCTTTTCAATGAAGTAAATAACCAGGGTTAATGCTGAATCCTGATTTTGGCTGTCTTTATCCATTCTTGTTTTTATGGTGTCTTTTTGTTCCTTCATCCACACTTGCTACTCTGCAGTTCTTTCTGCCTTTTGGTGTTTCCTCCCTTTGATTTTCTTGTCAGTCTGAGTAGTCTTCTGCTTCCATCTGCAGCTTTCCTGCATGTCCTTTTCTCCTTGTATTGTCTCTGCCTGCAACAGCATGCTTCTGCTGATTCCTACATGCTGGCAGAGAAGTGATCCTCGTTGTACTGCCTGGCTGAAATCCTGGCCCCATGTAAGAATGGCAAGATTCCCATGGACTTCATTCAGCGAGCCAGAATTTCACCCCGCATTTTTAAAGTGCTGCAAGCTTCAGAGATCAATATATATTTTTTTTTATTATTGATGCTCTGGGCATATTGATTGCATCAAAAATTACAGCAGAAAGGACTGTGATGTGAAGCAGTGAATCTTGGAAGGGATTTTCTTGATGGTCATTATCTTCTCATCTAGTGCCCAGAGTAGCCAGCCCAGAGGTCCAACACAGAATCATAGAATAATTGAAAATTAGGGTTGGGAGGGACCTTAGGGGGTCATCTAGTTCAACTCCCTGCTCAAAGCAGGACCACCCCAACTAGTCCCAAAATCCCATAGCTATCTCTGTTAGTTTACTGTGAGATCAAGCTTATTTTGTGGAACCTTTTTCATTTCTTGGTTCCAGCCCTATGGGATTGATGCTTGGATTATTTTAACCATTTAATTATATTTACCTTGCCAATACTCACCCTTTTCTCCTTTTCTCGAATAACTGTTCTAAGTTAATGTTTGATTATAGTGGGAATTTATTTAAAAAAATGCAGATTCACACCTGAAATTACATTTAAAAAATATCCCCAGGAGCATTAACTGTTTTGAAACATAGGAACAAATCATGCTTTGATAGTCCCTGTTGAAGAAGTCAGAGGTGTAATGGACTGGGGGAATGTGTTCATGTGAAGTCAGGCTAAAGGGGTAGGGCATTTAAAAAGGTTTTAGGATACGACATGTGGTGGACTTTTTTCTATTTTTCTTTTATTTTTTGAGAACTAAGTGATCCAACTGATCCTAAAATGGTTATAAAAATAGATCTGTTGTCATTTGAAGTGCTTTGGAGGCATATAAAAGAAGCTACTCTCTTCAGGGTGTTCTGCCTTATGAACTGTGTAACTACAGATGAGGCACCTGCTTTACGGATCTGTGCTTATTCTGACACGCAATCTTTCTGGCTGTGGGTACTAACACAAGGCCACCTATATGTAGGTGGGGTTAAGGATTCCTAGTGAGTGTGTTGAGCGCGACATAAATTTGCATCACTAGCAGTGTTTGGAGAAGTTAGGGACGATATATTATCTTCCTGAAAATATGCTCACAGCCTCATAACCTGGTGATATGGAGCTGGATATGTGCTTTGCTGACTCTACCTGCCATGAACTGATGCGTCTGCAGTAGAGCTTTTTTTTGAGATGTTATCTCTCTCGTGGTTTTCCTGGCTGGCACTGGATGGGCTGATTCACTTATTTTGTTTGACAAAGGACAAAGTTTACAGCCTTACCTATTCATTTTTGTAGCTTGTTTGCTTTTTAACCCATTGCATCTCTTTTGTGGCATTAATAAGTTATATTTGTAAAAAGCTGAGCAGGTGAAACGTACTCTATTAATTATTGCTGTAATGTAGCAGCTTTGGTTGCTGGATGCTGGAAGAAGTGTGGGCAAGTACAGTCTTGCTGTTCTCATGCCTCTGATATCATCATTCCCTTTCTGTACTGCTGACAGGAGCAAACCTGCAAGAG